TACTTTTGCATAATTTACTTGTAATCTTGAATTTTAAGTAAACATTGGTTTTATGTGGTTTTGAGAAAGTGATAATTTTTTATTTTTGAATAAAATATAAATTTAAAAATATCATAAAATTTTGAATTTTTTTATCGATATCAGTATTAAATTAATCTTTTTAAAAGTTCTTGTGTTTTGGTGTAATTTTCTTTTAATTAAAATTTTTAATTATACTTTAATTTAGGTTTAGTAACAAAAAAAAGTTAATTTAGGTTTAATAATATAAATTTTTATAATGAGATGATTATCCAATATTTGATTACGTTTATCTACAGTTAGTTAGACGATTTCAAGAATGAAGATTTAATATGTTGTACTTATGCACAATTTACTTGTAATCTTGAATTTTTTGTAATATGCATCAATAAATAGTACTTCATGCATAAAAAATCGTTTTTAAGAGTTTTTGTAAAATGCTTTATAATGTAGTATATATTTACTTGTAATATTAAATTTTAAGTAACATGCATCAATAACAGTACTTCGTGTATAAAAAATCATTTTTAAGAGTTTTTTTTTCAAATGCTCTATAATATTGTATAGATATAACCATACATATACACACGATATATTTATTTTATATTTGTATTTTCATTTACATTCATATTTGTTTACATGTTATTTTTAAAAAGTGATTATAACCAACTTTTTAATCATATCTATTGGATTATCTCAATCTAAAGATTTGGATAAGTTTTTCACAAAAAAACAGATTAAAATATATTAAAATAAATGTCAAATTATAGATAATAAAGTGATCGTTTTTCTATATACATTAGTTTCTCTTAGATTTATATTATATTTTGTCGATTTTTGATTTAAAAAATAGCGTGTGATATATTTATATTTTTTTTAAAAAGTGGCTATAACCACATTTTTAACCTTATCCATCAGGTCATCGATCTAATAGTTCTATTTTGATATCATCTGGAGCTGTTTGTTTACCTCTTAATGGTTTCATTAATAGTCAGGATCTCAATAGCTAATAAGTGAATATTGTTTAGCAAAAAAAGTCTCCCTCTTAATAGTTCTAAAACTTTCTATTTGTATCACGAGCCTCTTTAACCATTTAGCACCCTAATTTCATTATAAACAATTACCGAATAATTATATTTTATTTTAAACTATATCATGAGAATCTTTTAATTATTCTGATCATTTAATTGTTTTGTACCAAACCAATTAAGAAAAAAATGGTGTTTTTTGCAGTTTTGTGATTCATCTCTTTTCAAATTCTCCGTTGGTGTTTTCCTTAAGGATGAGATTAGAGAACGAAAAATCCATCCAACCATTTAAACTGAAATGATCTTAGGGACAGATTGTTTGGCAGTTGCTGAATGATTTAGTGCAAAATAGTTAAGTGGTCAGAATGGTTAAGAGGATTAGAATGATTAAGTGCTGAATGAAACAAGATTGTTTGGTAATTGTTCTCTGAATGACAACAAATTACAATTTTAACCCCACCGTCAACAGCCTTGGAACCACCGTCCGCAATTCAAATTTTTCGGCCATTGCTCTCTTCACCTTTAGTTCACGATGAGACATATCCCATGGAGCACAAAGAACGACGTCATCTCCCACAGACGTCGCAGTCGCCCAATCCTTCGCCGGAAGAACAGATTTCACGGATTTGTATGTTGTGTTTGTAAAATTGATCACGGGTTCGAAACGAAAACAAACCATTCAATTCGTGTTTCTAATTATACGCAAAATTGATCAGTAAGGGGAAAAGCATCGATTCAATCCACAGATATACCCTCGATTTCTTTTTAGGGTTGAGAAATTGGGGTTTAATTTTGACGGGAAGGGAAGCGACGACGATGAATTGAATGAGGGATTTTGGTAGGTAAAGTGGGCCGTGATTGAAAGTGAAGAGGAGGAGCTTGAAATTGGCCAACCAAGTGAAGAAGAAGGTGGCGACGACAAAGGTGAAGGCGGAGGAGAGGAGGAGGGGAAAGATGGTGAGAAGGTAGAAGATGGGGAGGAGGGAAAGAGGGAGATAGATGATACCTGATGGAGGCGACCGATGAAGGTGTGGAAGGCGACCGGCAATGGAGACGGTGATGGAGACGGTGGAGGCGACAACCGGCCACCATGGGGAAGGGACAACTTCGTGAATGCGACGTTAAAGAGTGTCGGAAGAAGGGTGTGGAAGGGTAAAGAGGGAACAGATGCAATCTGAATGGTTTAGTGAAGCTCTAGATGCAAAATGGTTAAAAAGTTAATGAAACCATTAAAAGCGTTGTTTTTTTGCGAAGCAGACCTTACCTCTTACCAATTAAGAGGTTGACTCTAAATGTCACCATTAAGAGTCAAACAAACACCCAGTTAAATCTGAATCGTTCAGAGTTCGAAACATGTTTGGTAGATTTTTTGCGACCTCTTAATCTTTCCAAGCATCTATGCATTGTTCATTGTCGAGGGCGCGAGTGTATCACTCAGAGGCCGACATTTCCACGGTTACCCTCGTCTTCGCTCCATCTCGTCTCCTGTAATTGCTCTTCGTCGAAATCAGGTAACCCTTTTCAAATATTTTTCATCGCTTATTGTCCCTTCTGATTTGGGCTTGATTGGTACTGTTTTCATGTGCATGAATTGGTATCAATTCTAAAACCCAGAACCGCTCCTCTACTTCCTGTTTACATGTCTGTCTCTTGGTCTTCTTCCTCAAGTGGTATGTAGTTGCAAAATATCATTAGGTGTGCTTTATATCAATTTTGTACTTCAAGATTCGTTTGCTACCTGTTTGATGAAATGCTTCAAAGAAATTATGAAGAGCTTTGCACGTACATCCTATCACTTTTGTCTTGAAAGGTAGTTTACTGATCACCTCTTGATGAGTTTGTGTGTGGTACCAACCATTGGGATTAACTTACTGATTTCGTCATCTAAGTTGACAAAATACTTGGGTTGGATCTACACAGAGATACATCACAAAAAGAACGTCTTTGGTGAAATGTGCCATGGATGCTTCCTTCGGTGATGCTATAGATGAATCATCTCGTAATCCTTAGCTCCATATTTACATAAAATGGTTAATGCTGCCATAACACGGCCGAGGCCTTTACTGAAGAACAATTTCTTTGATGTGTGCTAGTCTTGTATTTTGAAACTTTCATATTCTATCCTTTTTGCATTATTTGTTGTTTCCAGGACTACTATTATTGTATTCATGTGAAGCTAGCATGGTCTTGATTCAAAAGTTCTATGAGAGCAAAAACCCCAAAATTGATGTCAAGAAAAAAGATGAGGGAAGTAAGTCAGTCTTTCTTGTTATGTGCAGGCTGTCACAGACAGGTTCAGAACCCCGACTACAAACTTCGTCATCAAAACATCCATTGCTTTTGTGGTACTTGCAGCTCTTAAACCCTCATCTAAGGTGAGGATTAAACCCTTGAAGACTAAATCATCATAGTAAGTGTCAATGCTTTAGTATGAATATGGTAATTTATATATATTTTTTGCAAGTAATATTCGTAAAATCTATATATATATATATATATATTAAAGAAAGAACCAAGAGTATTGAGGTGGCATCATGAGAATTGAGTATTGAGATGCTGGTGAATTGTGATTGAGTTTGAGATATCCCACATTGGTGAAGAATTGAAAATTTTGAACAATATAAAATGTATAATAAAGATGGATTGAATGTCTTTGTGTCAAATATGAGGTTTGCCTCATAGGGTTATCTTTCTTTGGATGACCTTATTTGAAATGTATAACCATGGTTGGAAACCAATCAAACCAAATGGTAGAAATTATAGTGCAAAATTTATTATACTATTATATCTTTATATATATATATATATCTTGGTTTTAAAAAGCGCAATGCGGTCCGATGCGTTAAGGGTCCCGGAAGCCGATGCGTGATGCTGATGCGCTCGCATCACGCACGTGATGCGACCGGTATTCAAAAAATATTTATAAATTAATTCTACATATCAATTTCTACCTCAAAAATACTTACCTATCAAAATACTTCATTTATAACATAAAGTAGTTAAAAAAGTGGCATTAGAATCTTAAAAAGTTCGTGAATCAGAATAACAGAAGGACATAACACACAAACTACTACCATGAAGAACACAATTACACAAGTACATGTCTAATAGTCCTAATCCCTAAACTAAATGACCAACCAAGTGACCAAATAATACTCCCCAAGATCAGCATCATCAAACCCCAACACGGGTTCTCTAACCCCGGGTTCTATTTTACATAACTAAGAAGCCCAACTAAAAAGCCCAACTAAAAAGCCCAAGTAAACACTAAAAAAGGGAGCCCAAAACGCAACATACATGATGCGCTGATGCCTAAGTGATGCACGCATCGTGTGATGCGTAGGTGATGCGTTCGCATCATGGAATCGCATCGCATCATGGAATCGCATCGCATCAGCCTCTTTGATGCGTTCTGTCCAGCGCATCAGAGCGCATCGCGCATCAGAGCGCATTTTTAAACCAAGATATATATATATATATATATATATATATATATATATATAAGTAAAACCTTGGGGTAATGTGGTGACACCGTGCATTTGTGTCGATTAATGGAGTTTGCTTCAATGGTTATATATATATATATATATATATATATATATAT